CACTGCCCCGTGACCAGGCGGCCCCAGCTCCAACTGCAGCTCCTCGCCAAGCCCCCTGCTCTGGGACGAAGAGCCAGGAATGGGTTCAGAGCCGCATCCCCCTCGGCCATCCCAGCCTCCATGCAGGAGGGCCAGGGCTGAGGCCGGCAGGAAGGCAGAAAGCCAGGACAGGCAGCGGGGCAGCTTTGCCAGCAGCCCAAGAGCAGCACAAACCCCCATCCCGGTTCCGTGCAGCTCCATGGCTGCCGCCTCGGGACCACGTCCAAGCACAGGCAACAGGACGGTGCACGCGGGATCACCTGCGGCCCCGATCCCCAGAGCCGGGATAGCAGCAGAAAGAAGCGAGACACGAGCGCAACAAGCGTGCGCGTTGCGGGGAGCTGCTTCCCCAGCCCTGCGAGGGCCCGTCCCGTCCCCTCCGTGGGATGCTGCTTCCCAACCGAACCGCGGCAGGAAGCAGGGAGCCCGCTCACACCAGGAGGCAGAGAGGTTGTGGAGTCTCCTTCTCTGGAGATCTTCAAAACCCGCTTGGACACAGTCCTGTGCCATGTGCTTTAGGTGACCCTGCGTGTGCGGGGGGGTTGGACTAGATGATCTCTAGAGCTCCCTGCCAACCTTCTATTCTATGATTCTATTCTATGATTCTATGATCCCCTGCATCTCCTGCCCGTCCTCCCCACCAGTGTCGCTCCAGAGCCAGCAACAACCCAGGGATTTCTTTTTTCTTTCCATTAAGGGGAGAAACACAGAAATATCTCCTAGAATAAGTAGCAGCAATTGCACAGTTGATATTTAGGGCTTCCAGCACAACAAATGGAGCTTCAGCTTCATTAGGTACCACGCCAGCATAATCCAAGACATCCAGTACAGAAAGAGCTTAAATTAGTCTATCTGATAGCAACTTGTAACAAACAATATGTTAACGCGGGGATGGGGACCTTGGGGCAGCCTGCAAGGAGCAGCAATGGGGCAGGATGTGTCTCCATCAGAGGGGACAGGGCATTGCTCTGGGGGGTCGCTCCTTACCTGCTCGCCCTGGGCATTGCCAGCACCTGGAGCCAGGGAGGAGGCAGCCCCTGGGCGCCTCCTTATGTGGGAGAGGCCCTGGGGTGCAACGAGCTGCCGCGGGGATGGGGACCTTGGGGCAGCCTGCAAGGAGCAGCAATGGGGCAGGATGTGTCTCCATCAGAGGGGACAGGGCATTGCTCTGGGGGGTCGCTCCTTACCTGCTCGCCCTGGGCATTGCCAGCACCTGGAGCCAGGGAGGAGGCAGCCCCTGGGCGCCTCCTTATGTGGGAGAGGCCCTGGGGTGCAACGAGCTGCAGGTGCTCAGCGGCGGCCCCGGCAGCGCCGTGCGGGGCGGGAGCTGCTCCGTGCGGTGCCTCCTTGTGTGGTCCCGGCGATGCCAACCAGGCCTGCCCACATCTGCTCCGCCACGGCTGAGCAGCGCAAGCGTGGCCTTCCCAGGAATTGCCAGATATTCCCTCGGGATGGGCTTTATCGCTTGATTTAGGACACAGGTCCAAGACGTCTCACTTGAGTGGGGCGCACGGGCCGAACTGGGGGATTTGCTGTGCCGGGTACCGGGGCCGGCGGCAACGTGGGGCGCTGCCGTGGCGGCCGGGCTGGGGATCCGTGTCCCTCATCACGACCCTTAATTTGAGCGGCGCCCGAGCTGGGATGAGGGGATGCCCTTGGAGCCGGGGCGCTCGGCACTGGGGATGCTCCGCACGCGCCGGCGGCACCTCCGCACCCGGAGCGCCCGGGGCGCGAAAACGGCCGGATGCGGCCGGGCTTCCTTAACACCATGAGCACGTTTCCGATGGGGGAATTCCTACCGGGCGGTGTCGGCAGGAAAGGTGATTTATATCCTGCGCCCAGCTGGAGCTGCCCCCGACCTGCAGGCGGTGGGAATTTGGGGCAGGGAGGAGCAGATCGAGGGACTGCGGGATTCCGGGTGAAGCCACGCGGGGCGGACGGAGGTGCCTGTTTTGCTCCCCACTCCGCTCAGTCCATCCTCCTGCTCCGGGTTACTGGGAGGAGAAAGCAGAGGGTGACGGGGAGCAGGGCCACACTGACCCCAGCACCCGGCGCGGCCCTCGATGCCCGTCATTGTCACTGGCCCCGGAACGCGGCCGGACAGGAGCGATAAAATCTTTGTTTCCTTTTGCTGCTTTTGCTGTCTTGGGTTTTTTTTTGCATCCTCTCAAAGTTTTCTGCTGACTGCACGTTGCTCCTGCCAAGCTGCAGGAGCTGCCCCGCACGCTCCGTGACACTCACGGGAGCTGCAGGGAAAGCCCGAGCGTGTGGGGGGTCACCAGGCTCAGCTATGGCCACCAGCTGCTCCCTGATCAGCAGCGCCAGCACCATGGGACGTGGTCGTCCCATCCCATCCATGCAGGGTCCTTGCTCCGACGGAGGTTTCTCCATGCGGCGGAGCGGCGAGTGCCTCGTGAGCAGGGACACAACCCGCGCAACCCGCCCGCGCTGCTGGCAGAGGTGCCAAGAGGCAGCGGCGCTGCCGGCAGCGGGGGCTTCGTCAGCTGCGAAAGCACCGGGCCTAACGCGCCCCGGCGGGGCCGGCCGCGCTGCACGTGCTCCCGGCCCCCCGAGGGGCTGTTCCCAGCCGTGCGCATCCAGGAACTCTTGCAAAACGGCACCGCGAGGCTGTCGCAACGATTCGCTATTTGCATTTTTCTTTTTCAGTACAAAGGGCAACTAAAACCGCGAGGATTAACTCCCGCCCTGGGTGATCGGTGGGGGGATCGTGCGCACGGTGTTCGCACTGGTCCCTGGGGCCTCCCTATGTGCTGCGGGAGACGGAGCGGAGCGCGCGGGGAGGGATCAGGGCATCAGAGGGGCTCTGTGACGTGTCCCCGACTGCGGAAACGTGGCCGGGGATTATCCGGGAGCGCTGGTGACCTGAGGCACCTGAGCCGAGGCGAGTGACGGCGCCAGCCGAGCGCTGCTAAGCGGGGGAGCGCGCGGGCAGGCCGGAAGCCCATACGTGTAGCCTGTGTGTGTGTGCATGCATGTAAACACGTGTGCATGCATGTAAACACATGTGCATGCATGTAAACGCATATGCATGCATGTAAACGTGCGTGCATGCATGTAAACCTGTGTGCATGCATGTAAACACGTGTGCATGCATGTATGCACGTGTGTGCACATGCATGCGTGTATGCGCGCGTGTGTATGTGCACCTGCATGCACACACGTGTGTGGCAGTGTTTGGCCCGAGCCAGGGCCCCAGGCGCGCTCGGCGCCGCGGGTCCCGCCACGGTGGCACCGATCCCTTGGCGAGGAGGAGGTGGCACTTTGTGCGGTGCCTCCGCAGAGGCTCTGGGGATGCTGCCTGCGCCAGAATGGGGCTCTCCGTGCTCATCCCGGTGCAAGCAGCGACGACAACCCCGCTCCCGGGACCCCTTAATCCCCCTAAGCCCCTCCTGGGGGTCACATCCAGGGGCCAGGCCCGGGCTCCCGCTGCCCGTCCCCAATCCCGAGCGCCGGCGCCTCCGCCCCGCGCAGCGTCCCGCCGTGCTCCGGGAAACCAGAGATGTTTACGGAGAATTCGCCTAGCCCGGGGCCTGTTATTTTTGCGCGTTGCTATGGTTACCGATGCCATTAGAAAATTAAGTCTGAA